TGACGTCACCTAAAATAGTAAAAGCGCGCCAAATAATGGTCATGCTAATCCGGGGGGTTGTTTTACCAGAGTCAATGAGTGAATAGACATTCATTTGTACAATCGTTTCTCCCCCTGATCTCAGTAGCTGTTTACTCGTAGTTTCAAATTTAGGTGACGTCACCTAGAATAGTACATAACTTATCTAATTTAGTTGATTTCACCTATTCAACAGTGAGACTAAAAGCACTCTATAAAACTAGTAAAAGGACCCCAATCATTAAACTAGCAAATACTATATTATACCCTACAGGTTGTCAGTCTCCAGTTGATGACTGCTGGTGGTGTTATTCTGGAATGTAGTAAAACCAAAAATGAGGAAATTTTCCACTCAGTTCTGTGTGGCCTTGGTGCATTTGGTGTTATTTTAAACATAACTTGGCAGTGTGAACCAGCCTTTAACTTGCATGAGAAAACAATGTCCTGTCCCTTGGATGAGGTAAATCATTTTTTTACAGGGATTGTATGAAGAGGAAGGGGCTTGGGGTAGTGCTGTCACTACCCCCCAAATTTTATTTGCTTAAAATTATATATTCTCTAAATCTTCAGATCTCAGCCCAACTTTTAGTCTTATGCATACTAGTCTGCTATATTATTTTTCACTGCCAACCAACATTTAAGGACTGCTCATGCTCTGCAGTCCTTTGTAAAACACAATTTATAGTACCATTATAACATTATAAAATGTTACTCCATTTCTGTAGAATATCAAAATGTTTGTATTGCTAAAATTTAAGGGCTTTTAAGCAAAAATTAAAAATTAAAAAATAGTGCTAGCAGCCGATATTAGGTAACTGTTCATGCATGATGACCAGCCAAATTTAGTTTTAGCTTAGCCATACCTCATCATCTCTTCCTCAATGTTAACGTTACTGGTCAAAATGACCACCAAGGCAAAGATTTGACCAAACAAGTTTCAATTCTGGGCAGACATTCTCAGATGTCCTGGCTGTTATTTAAAGCTCTGCAAGGATTGTAAAACTGTACACCACTCCCTACAGTCTCTCGCGCTCTCCCATCTCTGTGGTACCTGTAGCCATTACTGATGTTTTATTGAACAATGATAACCATTTTTGTAAAATTCATTATAAACCTGGCAGTAACTACTGTAGGTGCTTTAATTTGCTAACCATTTTTGACTTTGCATTTGCCATTTATTTTAAGCCAACTTTCTTACCAAAAATTAATGTATACCTTGAAATAATATTCACAATCACCAAGCCTGATGATTTAAATTTTCCAAGTGAATAATGTAAATTGTTTACTGTTATAATGATGTTAAATATATTTGTTTTGTTTGTTTTTAATTGGTATAATAATGTAGATGCTTGGTAAGCTTGATCAGGAGCTGCATAGCTGTGACCACTTTAAGTTCTTCTGGTATCCTCACACTGATATGGTAAATGCAATATATGTTACCAGGACAAAGGAGGTACAAACCAATATTATTATATACATGAAAAACATTTTACATTTAATTTTAATTTTATCGATGCCCTGAAACAGCCTCTAGGCTAATGTAAGTCAGGGCACAGCTAACTCACAGATCAAATTACCCTTTAGAAACAACCTCTGGGCTGATCTAAGTCAGGGCACAGCTAACTCACAGATCGAACCCTGAAACAAACTCTTGGCTGATCTAAGTCAGAGCATGGCTAACTCACAGATTGAACCCTGAAATAATATTTGGGCTGATCAAAGTCAGGGAACTCAGTTAACCCACAGATCAAATTGAAATCCAGCATATGAATTAGGCCTCCACGCATAAAGGAAGCATGTATTTTGCATCAACAGACTATAAAATGATGATTTCTTTGTTTCAAGCCTCCAACCAAGCCTAAAGGAAGCTGGTTATGGGATTCGTTGTTTGGATTTTATCTTCTCGAGTTTCTTTACTGGATGAGGTATGTTAAATAAGTTTTGTAGGGCTTACAACTTATTAATAAATAATATAACAAGAAGTATTGACATTGTTAATTGGGAAGCACGGATGGCGTGCGCTGCTAATGCGCAGCCTCTCACCAATGCGGCCGGAGTTCAAGTCCTGCTGATCTCGATGTCACATGTGAATAGAGTTGTTTGTTGGTTCTCTCCTGTGCTTCGAGGGTTTTTCTCTGGGTTCTCCGGCTAATTTCCTCCCTCCTCATAAATCAACTCCTAAATTCTAATTCGATCTTTGGGCTTTCACTTAGTTTGGAGCCTAGCTCTGTTGTGATTGTCCCATGCTGTGATATGACAGCGAAAAGCTTTGTAGATTTTTTTTTTGTCGATTTAGAATATTGATTCAGCCACTCTCCATCAACAAAAGAAATGACATTAATCTTCTATTTAGAATAGAGACTGAATACTGTACTATTGTATTGAATAAAAGGAGTAAGGGCTTCAGATTGATTAATTTCATAACACACTGCATGGCACCACACCACACCACACCACCACATCACACAACACAGCACCATGCAATGTCACACCTCATCACACCACACTACACCACACAACAACACACCACACCACCTCATCACACCACACCACACCACACAACAACACACCACACTACACTACACTACACTACACTACACTACACTACACTACACTCACCACACTACACTACACTCACCACACTACACTACACTCACCACACTACACCACACTACACCATACTACACTACACCACACTACACCACACCACTACACCCCACCACAACCACACCACACTACACCACTACACCCCACCACACGAATGCGGTGTCCAGGCTTTGTAGTACTAGTAAACTACTAAATTTTAATGAGATGACATTACGTAGGTTGATATATTCACCAAAGCTACTCTTTATTTTAGCTCGTTTTTCCCAAGTATGGTTCCATTTATCAACAAGCTCTATTTCAATAGTTTATTCAAAAATTCAAAAGAACGTATTGACAAAAGCTACAAGGTAAATATCTGTTTCCCTAGTTTACGGATTAAAATGACGACTTTTATGGGTGAAGTTGAAATGATCAAATAGGGGTCATTTAGTGGCGCATTTGATTGCGTTGCGCTGTTTTGTGTTGCGTTGTATCACACTGTGTTGTATTGCGTTGTCTTGCGCGGATTTATGTTGTGTTGCATCCCATTGTGTTGTGCTGCGTCGTGTTTCGTCGTATTGCAATGCCTTGCGCGGATTTCTGTTGTGTTGCATCCCATTGTGTTGTGCTGCGTCGTGTTTCGTCGTATTGCGTTGCGTTGCGCTTATTTTTGTTGCGTTACATCACATTGTGTTGCGTTGCGTCGTGTTTCGTCGTATTGCGATGCGTTGCACTGTTTTGTGTTGCGTTGTGTTTCGTTGGACTGATTTGCGTTGCGTTATTGTTGGTTGTATTTCTCTGCTTGGCGCCGAATAGTGATGTCGTATTACGTTGGGTTTTGTTGCGCTGATTTCGTTGTGTTTCAATGCGCTGATTTTGTTGCGTTTCGTCGTATTTCGTAGCGTTGCGCTGATTTGCCCTGTGTTGTGTTTCGTTGCACTGATTTGCGTTGCGTTACATTACATTATTTTGTGTTTCGTTGCGTTGTGTTGTGCTGATTTCGTTGCGTTGCGTTTTTTTGTTATGTATTTCGTTGAACTAATTAGTTACGTTTCGTTACGTTGATTCGCGCTGCGTTGCGTTGATTTTTGTTGCGTTTATAAATATATGTATATTTTTTCATTTCAACCATGTCTTTCAGATATTGAATTTCAATTGTTTGTTCAAACAATATGTTACTGAGTGGGCTGTATCGAGGTTAGTTTCTATCATTTATTACATCAAAATTTGATAATAATATATAATATATATAATAATATGTATGATTGATGATTGATTGATGTAATCATCATTCATAATAGATTTTTGTCTTTTTCTTCAGAGATAAAACTGCACACGTGCTCAGGCGTTTGAGAGACTGGACAGAAACCAGTGGTATTTATGTACATTTTCCAGGTAAATACGAACAAAATAGCTGCTCTTTACTCCAGGAAACCAGTGATGCAGATGATGTACACTTTAGCTTTAGATTCCTAACTTAGGTTAAACAGATTTGAATGRCACTGAACAAGTGCGTGTCACACTGCTTCTTAATTTATACTAAAACGCTTTAGCTGATTAGTGCTATTACTGATTTCGTATTGTCATTTACTATTGGCATATTTTTATTCTAGTCTTGTTTAAAAATCTCTTTATTTCAGTTGAAGTACGCTTTGTCAAATCAGATGATATATATCTTAGTCCGTGCTACAAGAAGGACATGTGTTTTATTAACATAATTTGTTATAGGTAAGTGGTATTACAGTCAAACCTCTGTTAAGCGGTCACCCCTGTGGAAACATCAGTAAATACAGTAAGAAAAGCGAATTTCGGGAAATTATTAAGTGACCGCTTAATAAAGGGTGACCGCTAAATAGAGGGCCGCTTAATAGAGGTTCGACTGTATATCTATGCCAACATTGCCTGCCTACCTGCCTGTTGTCAGTTTGTATGGTTGAGGATCGTAGGGCGATCGTAGGGGGCGGATCAGTTGGGCGTTTGGTAGAACTATTTAAACTAAATTCCTTTTAATGATCCCTGATCTCTTCAATCATGTGTTTATTCATTACTTATCTTACCCTTTCCTGCTGTAATTCAGACCTTATGGCAAAGACATCCCACACGACAAATGGTGGAGTTTTTACGAGAACCTAATGACCTCAGTAGGTGGTGTGCCACATTGGGCCAAGGTAATGAATAAATAGAGGATATTACATGGGCGCGCGGTCATACGAAATTTATCTTCGAGTGTTGAAACGAGTGAACGCTCACGAGTGAGCGCATCGAACGAGCGTATCTCCAAGCGCCCATGTAATATTCTGTTTATTATATAATTATCAATAAAATCAACTCAATAAGCTTTTTATTGTTATAAAAAGTTTTTATTTATAAACTAATTGCTTAAATACACATGGAAACAAAATTTTCACATGTGAAAATAACATGTTATATTCACATGTGAAAATATCAGTTTTTCGAAAAGGAGAAATATAGGTATTTTATGGATAATTATATGATAAATATATTTCTCCTTTTCGAAAAACTGATATTTTCACATGTGAAAATATCGTTACCTTGCGTATTTAAGCTATTAGTTAGTTAGTTATAATAATGAAAAGCTTATTTAGTTGATTTTATGGAGAATTATATAATACAATTAAATCCCAAATTGTACTCTGTAGAGTCCCAATTTTGTTGAGTGTATTTTAAACAAAAAAATAGTACAATCTTCTCGTACAATTCAGAATTTATAGATACTCGTGATGTTTTGAAAGTTCTCAAATTGGACTCGCCTAAAGGCACATTCAATTTTCAAAACATCACTCGTACCTATAAATTCCGAATTGTACTCGGGATTCAGTCGTTCGCTCATTTATTCGTTTATTCGTTCATTCTTTCACTTATTCTTTTTTCCATTCATTTATTTATTCAATTTATCCATTCTTTCATTCGTCCGTTCATTCAATTGAATAGCGCAGTGCACTGATTCTAAAAATAGCTTAAAGATTCGGACAAACATTGCATTCTGTTTAACCGCTACGAGGATTATACGAACCGATTTTATTATTTTACTTAAAGTTACAATAATAACCCATGTAAACTAAGACCAACTGCGATCGGCTATGAAAATTATCTGCTGAAAGTAAACTTGTAAGTATGTTTGTCCGAATTTCGCCTTTGTCTTCGTTTTTATGACGTCACGGTTGCGCTGCGCTATTCCATTCGTTCGTTCATTTACTTATTCCCTTATTTATTCATGTTTTTTTTTCTAGGCCCACAACTTAACTACATCACATTTCGAAAGGCTTTATCCCATGTTTCGCAAGGCGCGAGAAATTTGCATAAAGTTGGACCCGGATGGAACATTTCGAAACCAATATGTCAACCGAGTAATGTTCGAGTCCGTATAATATCATACCAAGCTGAAATAATCCATCTGGTAGGTAAGTCAGAATATTAGGGAAGCACGGGTTGCTGGCGTGCAATGCTTAATGCACCGCCTCTCACCATAGGCCTTTTCTGAGTTCGATAAACAAGATGCATTGTGGTCTAGATTCATTCGGTACAAACAACACCATATAAGGCATGATGTTGCTTGTTGGTTCTGTCCTGTTTTTCGATGGATTTATATTTCCAGGTTCTCCGGTTGTCCTCCCTCCACAAAAATCAACTACTAAATTCCAATAGACCTCTTTAGTTTGGGCAAATATTTTTTTCCATTTAAGACCTCGTCTCATTCACTAGAGAACAAAACTCTTTGTTTGAGTTATATCCATATTCGTGTGTCTTCTCTTGCGCAACCGTTAAACAAAGAAAGGATATTCTAGGGAATGACACATGGGAAAACATTACGCCAAAGCTAAAGAGGTCTATTCGACCTGCCATTGAGTGATTTCGTAATGTGCCTTTGCATGCTTGACGTAGAATTTATTAGGGCACATTTACAGTATCTCTTACATTTAACATTCACGCTCTTCCATTCATAGGTTCACTGGTCACAAAACATTCAACTGAGGCTACAAGGTTCAAATTTTAATAATCCTTTGAACTTGAAAGCCTTTAAAAAACACCAAGAGGTGTATGCTAATAACTTATTAATTCACCGCCTTCCATACATTGGTTAACTGGTCGCATAAAAAGCATTCAGGCTTTCAAGTTCAAAGGATTATTCAAATTTGAACCTTGTAGCCTCAGTTCAATGTTTTGTGACCAGTGAACCTATGAATGGAAGAGGGTAAATGTTAAATGTAAGAGTTACTGTAAATGTGCCCTAATAAATCCTAAAAAATAGCGAATACTTCATAGCGTTGTTCTCATTTCCTTTGCCATGACGTAGTCTTATGAAACATGCGCTCGTTTCGAAAGCAAGGTGTCAAGCCAGTATGTAAAAGAAAGAATAGAAAAGGCATATAAAACAGACGATAGTGAAAGGTTTTCCTTTCTCACAGTATTGTAGGTCCCGTTGTAGCTGTCACAGCAGGCCTGATTTTGTCGTTAAGTATCGATTCCCCTTTCTTTAAAGCTTTCTTGTTTTCCGGTAAGAATTTATTGTTTGATTGGATTTGTTTTTCTTTCGTAGAACTTAGATGCTGGAACAACACTGCTGCTCAAGTATAATGTGGATTGTAACGATTTGAAAATGGAAAGTTCATTGCATGCATACATGTATGATGCAATCAGTGACACGTTACGTCATCGCCGCCATATTGGTGGTTGTTAGCAAAAATTCATGTGCAACAGCAATAATTCATCTGCATCCAGAGATGACAATAACAAAGCCTCATTAGCTTCTCTTGTTAGATCAACCAACATGGTGGCTGTTTTATTGTTATTCTCGAGGGATTTTGAGTCGTGTGGCTGAACTCCAAGAATACGCCAACGTGACTCTCTTGGAAATAATTGCTAACTATCACTCACTGCCTCCCAAAGGGAGTTATTGCACTAGCCTATGTTAAGCGACCAACCCTAATTTTGCGTTCACTTGACCGTACTCTCGAGGGTGGTCGCTTAATACAGGTTCTGCTGTACTTTAAAAGTAAAGGCCTTACGTAATGTATTGCGCTACGGGAAAGGGCCAGTACCTTACAAATAAAGGCGCAATATCGCTCTGGGAAATATATGATAAGTATACATGTCATCCACGCTTTTTTAATTTGAGTTTAATCAGGGAGCATTTATTTTTTAAGGGGAGGAGGAGGGTGGTCGGGGTGGAGAGGCGGCGAGGAATTAAGGAGAGGTCTATATATCAAGTTGTTACGCAGTCAAAAACGAAAGGCCATCAGTATTTTCATTCAATCCAAAATTAAATCACCGTAGACAAGACTGACGAACTATGGGTAGGGTCACGATATTTATATTCATTTGATATTTATATTCATTTGAGGATTGCGATTTTTCTACAATAGTCCCAGTGGATGTCTCCAACACCCTCCCCCCCCCCCCCCCCCCCCCCCCCTTCTGATAATGAATGTTCCCTTAAGCATTGCATTCGGTAAAAGTGGGCTCCCCTGCTGATGTTACATACTCCTTTACATTAGAATCAGGCAGGCAGTCCAGTCAGCCGGAAATTATAAATGTAAGCAAATTGCATGACAATATAAAAATAACTATTTCGTCATGATATGAACAGTGCAAATAGACCACCACGTGTTTCGTTCTTTCTTTTCTTTTCTTTCTCCCCCTCCCCTTTCCTCCCTCCTTTTTTGTTGCAGCAATTTTTTTTTCTGATAACCAATTAACATGCACTAAAATGACCCATCTTCATGGAAACCATTCGATTGTTAAGCCAGGTACTATTCTTGGTTTGCAATCAATCCCAAGAGAGCACAATAACAAAAGGGATGTCCGCCATGTTGGAATATATAACAAAAGAATTCATTGAAAAATCTTTTGTCAAATTCTTCCAACATGGCGGCTATGACGTCTATTGCAAACGAAGAATATACATGAGCAGCGTTTTTAAAAACACCGTTTCTTGAATTTTTCTTTGTCTCTGAACTTTTTCTCTGTTTTCAATTCTAGCTCATTCAGTTTACATGCTATCAAAATGTCTCAACTGGTAGGCTATAAACTTGGCCCGAAAACACAAAAAGCTTAAGTCCTTCTGCATGTGTTCAAACTCTTATAACTTGGGGTCTTCTGACGTTGCTACTGAATTGCGTAAACTGTGTCCGGTACCTGAAAAAGGAGCCAAAAACAGGTTAAATTTTTCAGCGTATAAAAGCCTTATTAGTAAATCAAAAATCTTGGACTCGAGCTCATATCAAAAGTTCTTAAATGTAGAAATATTTCGACATTTCACACAACTTTCATCAGTCAAGTGTTTATTGTTAACTTCGTACCATTAAAATTGACACTATTTCTATTTTAGTTCTGAGCCCCTCCCTTAGACCTATTCAGCTGATCAATTGATGCGTAAAATAAACATCGACGCCTGCGAAGATGATTCATAATATGCATGAACAAAATCCCCCCACCTTTTCTTCTACTATTCAGGTGTATTTTCTAACAATTATTTAAAAAACATTTTACTAAATTTCAATTTATGCTATTCAAATTATATTTCTTATTAGCTTGTACTAATCATGTAAATCAAGTTTTTTCCATACAGAAACTCGTTGGAATTAAGTCGAATCGCTTTGCTACGACCCACCACCAATGAATATTAATAAAGATCAGTCTGGTGCCTGAAGAAGCGAATTATATTCTCTAGTTTTTATCGCATTTTCATAGAACAAACTAGAGTTGTTTGTCTTAAATAAGGTTGAAGCATGGCTGAGTCAGGTGTAGAAGGTAAGACAATGGACAGGTTCGATAGTTTTGTTCAAGAAAACACACCGCTCTCGTGTGCCCTTTTTTACTGCACATCAATCAGAAAAAATATCACAATCAAAATTGTTCTTAAAATATCAAACTGCCGATTGATAACCAGACGTGATTGCAAGGCTATTTGATTCACGCTGCGTTCGAAAAATATTGTTATTTCCTTCGTGGTTTTTGGCTAAAATGAAATCTACAGTAGATAAGATGCTTAACATCCATCATGACACACCAAACATTTGCGACAGGTTTTTTTTTTTTTGTACCAAATTTCCAAGGCAGGTCATATAAATTCAGAATATATCGTGCCGCTCTTGGGTCTAAATGCGTCAATTATTCTTCGTTGAAATGAAAGATTCCACGGAAAAATTGGGAGTGGGATTTTGTTCCAGAAAAATCCATAATCCCGGCGTCCTTTCACGGGTTATATACATATATATGAGTATGACTCATACTTAATTCCAAAATCACTATTTAAATGTTTCCTTTCGCCATATTTAAAATCATAGAGTTATTACTCAATTGGCATAGTATCTGACCGGAATTCCGTTTTCAATTCCATCAAGTAATATTCGTTTTAGTAAAATGACTACTTCTTCGCTAAAAGCGAAGGATGTGACGTAAGTAACGCGATCTCCATAGCGTGACATCTCAGGTGACGTCATGTAGAACCTCTGCGAGATTTGAATTGGCGCATAATTTATCGGGCTTGAAATTGTAGAGTTGTGTACTTGCTTGGTCGTCAAGATCTTGATTTAAATATGACGACCCCTTCGTCGTACAGCACATGGCCCATAAGGAAGTCGAAAAGTAAGTACTCCAAGCTTTCTTTTGGTGATAATTTTGACCTATTTGATGAGTTTGTCGTGCATTCCGTGTAAGATTGAAACTGATTGAGTTATGGTTCAGTACGTCGATTTCGATCTTCATAACCGTTTCACTTGTCTCTTCTTGGCTTCTTATATCATTCTATTTAACGAACACAAACTAATTTAACCTTGAATGCTTTCAAATATGTCTAAAAAATCTAATCAAAGCCGTTGGGGTGACAAGGAATCTTATTAGACTGTACTTTGTACGTTTGCTCAAGGGTTCGACCCAAGCGATTGTCCCTGAATTTACATAAAGAAGCCTGGTTTTTGAGAGACCGCATCTTTCAACACGAAGTGGCATAGCAAAATAAAACAATAAGCTGTGAGATATCACACTTCAAAATAGAAGATGAGAGTGCTTAGAATCACGAGATATCGCTACTATTCTTCGCGCTCTAATTTCTATTCTTCCTCATGCATATCGAGCAGACACCTTTCTAAACTTTAGTCACAGAATTCATATGAGAGTTTTGATCCTAACTTCGACTTYCATGTCATTTCTACGTAAACAATTTCAAGACCATGGCCTAGTTTAGGCTCACAGTCACTTTACATAGGATTTTATATGTCAACAGTATAACTGTTTTCTAAAGAAAGTTAGGATGCAAAGACTATGCAGCCATCTTGTTCAACTGCTCTGTTTACTCAAGAGTAAAATATATTCATTGATCTCCCAGAGTTGTTGACTGTATTTTATTCTCACTGAGGGATAAATTATTATGTATTAGAATCTGTTTTGGGTTCTTTATATCAAAGATTGCCATATGGATCTCATTATGACGAATCTTGACCTAAAATTCATTTATAATTTAGCATAAAGATTCAAATTTGTGTCAGTGTTGTATCGAGCTTCTCGTAAAAGAAACAGAATTTAGGTTTCTACACCAACGGACAAAACTCGTATATTTTAACGCTCTAAACTCAACGCTTTTCCGAATAAGAACATTTCGTTAACCAATAACTTTCCTAAATCAACAAAACTAAGTCATTTCCTACCCCAAAAAATTATTAAATAAGAATATCAGAAAATCATATTTTCTCCCTGATATCTAAATATTAGACATTTACCTGAGCTATCTATTGGTGAGCAAGCAGTTGTCATTACGTCAATCAACTCTGAAGTTAAAAAACTTTTAAGCCACTTGTTTTGATGTAGACTGGACAATTGGCATACTTATAAACCATGCATGGCCACTGCCTACATGTGATTTGTCTAATATAATGCTATTCCATGCGGTGAAAGAGAGACTTATACATAATACGACCCCTACAGTGGATTTTTGTTGCTGATTGTATACATCCATTATATAAAGTCTGTAATATACAGTCTCATAAAGGGTATTCATACATCTAGGCTAAACTATAATGCATTTAACCTTTGCTCTAAGGCTGGTATTATAAAATTTGCCGAAGGTATGATATTCCAGACTGTGGGAAAATGTCCTCAGACAAGGTTAATTGTTTTTGTTGAAGTCGATAAGCAGTTTTTTGCTAATGTTTTGAACAAAATCTTTATTTTTGATGTTCCTCAAGTGGAACAATTTACATTATTTCCATACTAACAATAACTATTAATGATCAAAATATATCTGTCATTAATGTATTGTTAACTATTTTTCTACACACAACAGAACCTTTATTTTACTATAATTAATATAATATATATAAGATTAAAATTATAAAAAAGTTATAAACCTTTCTTGCATGAATGGTCATGTAATTCCAAAAGAAACAATTAAGTTTAAGATTGATTAAAATTATGTTTGTTATCTCTTGTGGTTTATCAAAGTTTCTTAAACTATAACTCCTAGACTCACCACATTGTTTTGTTCGACTAACATTTCTATATTAAAACAATTAATGATCCCAAACCATTGAAAATGTGGCTAAAACCAAATAGAAAAGTTATCTGATTTTCTCCATGAAGAAAAATTAATCCTAATGATTAATTTTTTCATAATAAAGTAAATAATAATAAAGCCTACAGCTTCCAATATTGTTATTATAAGATATTTTCTAGATATATTTCCTGTTAATTTAGAGCCTAGTAGCTCCTTCACCCAGTGTGTTTTGCAGCTGCTTAAAAATATATATTAAGTATTTCTAGAGAGTTCAGTGGCAAGTCACAATCAACTGATATTGTCTTAGTTTGAGTGCTGACAATTAATTGGTTTTGGCCTACTTGATGGCATAGCTTTGGGTGCTGCTGATTAATAGATACATGTAAAGATCTATATATAGTCACGCCTAACTAYAATATAATGCTTGTATGTGGCACTTAGATATTATTGTCAGCACTGGCAAAATAGTTTGATATTTTAAAGTTTCAGTGATTTGACTTATATGCTGACATGTTCCTACATGTCAAACTTGTTAAACGGTACATTATGATCTCTATATTATGTATCTTGCATAATATCTAGTGACAATTCTTCTAAACATATAAAAATATGCAAAAGACATGACAGAATTATTGTAAAAAACGTTGTAAGGAAGTTAGTAATAAGAAATATATTTTCTGTTGATCGTGATTTAATGTTTATTTTCCTTTGTATCAAAGTTATTAATTAATGAGAAGTCTATTTTCTGTTGCTTGTGCTGCCATATGCTTTCTTTTCTCTTTTCCTTGCTATTTTCATTCTTTCTGTCTTCCTGTTTTTTTGTTTTTTCCCTTTCTTTCATTTTTTCTTTCACTCTTTTTCATACCTGTCAATCAAAAAGAAGTAATGATTAATTCAATCTAGTAAAAAGTATTGATCAACTCTAACAGGCTGATGTATATTATAGAGCTCAATATTTCTCTACACACTTTAAAAACAATTTATAAAATGAAATATAATGTGTAAGCTGGCTACCATGTTTATATCAAGAAGTTCACCCAAAATTGTTTGAAAATAATTTATAAAAGCATTACAAAATGGCTGCTTATGTCTCTGTACTGTGATACAAACACTCTGCTCCAGGGTATTCCAGAGAAGTTCAACTCTTACATAGCATAATTCAGTTTTTTAATATAGATATTTAATTTTATGGTGTGTACTGTTGTGAGTGATATAGTGCAGTTTAAATTTATTCCATATGCAATAGTCAGTTTTGAATTTTGCAGTTTATAGGATATATGAATTTATTAATGATATTTACTATGAGGGCATAAACAGAAATTTTAAAACAAAACAGGCATTTCACAGAAACTTCAAGAAACATTTGATTCCCAAGGTTCACAACTAATCAACTTCCTTAAGCCATGTTTCAAGTGATGTCTCAGCCTAATAACATACCTTATCTTTTAAGCATGCACCATAAATTAGCTTTAAAAATATGTCACCTATGCCTAGAATCTTTTTGGAGTTAATTTTCTATGCAAACAACTGTGTATTTTGAGATACTCGAGATTGTTAGAGGAATTTTTAGCTATTTGAGAAATTTTTTTGAAATTTATTTAGTTTGTTTAGTGTGGTTCTGTATATTTCTTGATGAAATGTGTACATTAATGTAAATAAAAAAGGATTCCATTCAGTCTCTGGATATCAATGTTTTCACAGTTGATGGTGGAGGTTTTTGACATAATCTTCCCTTATGCATTAGTAACATGGTTGAATTAGTCTTCAAGAGCCACATGGCTGAGATTGAAGATCTTATAGTATATTATAAAAGAATAACATTGTTTCTTCAATCTTAAATGGAAAAAGGAATTAAGACACTAATTCACACAATTTTGGTCTCTAGAGACTTTATCTTCCATCAAACCCTGACAAGATCTTTACTCCATGAACTTGCTTTCCAACACCTGTCAACTTAATTCCCTTTCACTTCAAAATATAATGACATTATTCAAACTTGAAATAATATCTCAAATGTAAAATTGTTTCTTGTAACAAACTGCATTCATATTTTTACTTCAGTTTTATATTCCTCACTCCAATATCTATAATTGTTTTCGCTGCTGATTTGTCAAAATACTGATATTCATAATGTGTAGTTTCATCTCTTGGAAACCTAAACATTAGTTTGTTTTTGTACAATTTTTGAATCTAATTTTGATGTAATTAAGGAAATTGAGATGTAAGACGGGAAATTCCCACCAGGAGGGAAAATATTAGGCTTCTTCTTAGTACTAAGAAAAGCTTGTCGTACATCATCCAAACAGCATGAAATATTCATCAAATTCTTCTTTTCTTTATCCTTTTTGAAGTATAAAAACTACAGGGAATTAATTAATACAAATTAAGAAACAATTTACATCATTTCTTCCAATTTTCTTATGAAAAATTCTTTACCAAATAAATTTTGGTTCAAATCTTTTATGAAGGACTAGTTGAAAGACATCATGAAACCAACTCTGTGCCACTTGCAAAGTTTACAACCCCATGGCTTTCACAAGATATTTCCATTCTTATCATTTATTGTCAGACAGCTACTGAAGTAGAGAATTTAGATGCCAAAGATAGGAGTTGATGCTCAAGAGATGTCAATATTAATTGATGGTGTAGAGTGTTCAGAGCTCAAGTGTAAATTAAAATGCATGAAAAAACCAAATGGTCACTACGAGATAAAACTTTTCTTTAGTTAGTACTTATTTTGTGTAACTTCTCGACTTTCTGGTCCTTTATTTCATTTTTTTTCATGGTTTTTATTTCTTAGTTTTAATTGAATTATTCAACAATTATATTTATAGTCCCAAAAACAACTTTTTTTTGTACTTTTTATATCTTCTAGAATTCCAAAGGTCTCATTTCTTTTTTTCCATTTCTAAGGTTTAACTGTATAATTGAGCAATTATATTTATATAAGTCTGAGAAACATCTTATTTTTGTACTTTTCTTTATTTTCTGATTCCCATTTTTTAGTTTTCATTGAATTATCGAATAATTATATTTTAACTCTCTTATAGAAAAATAACACTCTTTCGAATGCAGTACTTTGACACCGCAAACCTTTTAACTTAATATTTTTCCTACAACTTCCAGTTGAGTGCACTCACTCTCAATGATCATATTCGCTTCAACATGGAATTTCCATCCATCCCACAGAAAAATGAATTGGGGAAAAACTTTCAAAATTCATTGTGTATAAACTTTGTAGTAAACATAACATCGACACAAGCTTGTTCTATTGTTTATATTTTTACTTCTCGTTCCTTTGTTATATTGCAAGCATTGCTTAGTTATTTATTCAGGTGTATTTTGTACCAACAGCAACATAGCTGAACGTAAACAATGCGATTCATAAAATATTCAAAGCAATAAAAGTTATTAGTCTACTTTGAAAGTCAATTCTCGTTGAACTTTTCTTCCGCACGAAATAAAATCCGACGGAAATAATAAAAAAAATTCAATTAATGAATAGCATGAGTAAGCTGATCACCAGTTTAAAGGGCATAGCTTAGTTCCACCTCGAGAAATATATTTTAAAACTGGAGCTTAACAAGCAAAGAACATAAGAACCAAAAGAATTAATAAGATTATTTATAAAAACTAAACTGAAATTATGAGATAGGTGATTTTTTTGAACCAGAATAATGCTATTGTAAAATGTCATTTTGCAGGATATTTCAAATTGTGCGTGAGTTGTTTGATATAAGGAGATGGAATTACTCGGAATGATTCCAGAATGATAACTATTCAATCATCAGCCATTCAAAAATTCATTTATCACGCCACACACGACAACAAGTCAGAAGGAAAAATACGTGTGTCACGAAAGAACAATTCGTTTTTCAATTTTGAGAAGCCATATTTTTTTATGTCGAAATCATTTCATCAGTCAAGCATCTTTAAGTCAGAAGCTGTCATTTTAAATTAACGCCACAAAAAAACATCAGTCTTCAAACTATGTGTCACGGATAGAGTACCTACTATATATCTGTGAAACAGTTCACAAAATTGTACAAATTAGTTTTGTAGGTCTACGGTCTACTGAGGTCTACTGAACTTACTAATTTGTGCAATTTCTTCCATAGTTTTTCATGGATACATGGCATACGCTCTAACGTGACTGGATATAAAGTTTGCGTGCAGCATTACATGCAATTTCAAAATTTGAATATTTTTAATTCTATGCCATTGGAGATTACGTCTTTATTGCTGAGGGTGTAGTACTGTAGATCTGGACAAGCATAATCGCTGACTTCCACCTCTTTTTCTTCATCTAAAAAACATAAGGCCCTTCGGCAATAACAAACGATGGAGTCTTTGCTTATTTAGGTATTTAGTCTAGCGGACCGGAAAAGGAAATGAATATAACCTTTATGTACGCCAATCGCAGACACTTGATTATATAATTTGGACTCTTTATCATGCTAATGTATCGACTAAAATAAACACTAGATATTTCATCTTATTTTGTTTAATGTGTCGATCATTTGTATTGGCCTTATTACAGCATGCGACCTTGCCCCAAAAAAAGCATTACACGATTCTAAATAATCTCTTACTCTCGTGACTCTTTTACGTGCATCGTTGCTAAGACGATTACGCCACTCCCAGCAACGATGCAGTCGCGATTCTGCGTGTATATATTTTTGCACACAATGTTGCACGCAGTGTGTGTTATTCAAGAATCATGATTGTTTATAAAAGTATTAGTATTTGGCCATTCCGGAGTTGAGTAAAAAAAACTGGACATATTTCCAAGATGTGGGTCTGTTTCGTCCAACAGTCCTAAAACAATCCCATAAGGCGCTGCAATCCCAACTCGACCCAGTTTTTTCCTCGACCTCGGAAAGGCTTGTAATAACAGTCATCACTAACACTAACGCCATCGTTAAGAACGTTATCAGCGGTAATGGTTTTAAGTGGATGTCTCTCCAACTTCCCTTCCCTTCTGTGTACTCCCTTTGTTAGTTTTGCGACGATCGCTGGAGCGCGCACGGGTCTATTTATCATTGTAATCAAAATCATAATCATTTAAAACTTCCTCCTAGGTTGTCCATCAGTGCATGGGACGCTAAGACATGAGCCACAGCCTTATGTATCGTACAACCCAATACACGGGACTGATATTGAGAAGCTGTTGTCACTTGAGAGTGAAATCCATGAAAACTGGACCAAAGTCAAGAAAACCAAGGATGCTGAAGTATGGCGTAGAAACTCAACCAATCCAAACACTCCGCCAATAACAAAGGTAAGAAAATTATGATTTTAATTACACGATTATTCAATGGGCAGGGGCCGTGTTGGGGGAAGGGAAAGGGAGGGGGTTGGGGAGGTAGGCACCGGGGGTGGGGCTTTAATCTATCATTTTTTACCAATATGCACATTGTTAGAATTTACGGTGTTTCGTTTTGCGGAGAGAGAAAAACTGGAGAACCTGAAACAACCTTTGGGATGATCTAAAGCAGGGCACAACTACCTTACAAATCCAATTGTAATTTAGCGTGTTAGGTTTCGCGCTGGAGAACTCGGAGAAAAACCCTCGAATCAACTAAGAGACCTATCAAACACCATTTCCATAAAGATGCCGAGTTTAGGAATCGAACCAGAGGTCCCGGTGGTGAAAGGCAGGTAAACACTACTTCTCTGAGAAATAATAACTATTGTATTCATGCAAGTACCCCAAAACATTTATCCTTATGGATTTGAAATGAATAGTAGGAGTAGACCATACGAAGGATGGTGTATCGAGCATTTACATTTTACTTCATTATTTCTTTAGGCTGTTCTACACCTTGAGGGAGTACCATACGAAATTGGTAAATACAATCATTGATATGTATTTATACATTAGGAAGATAATATGGCGCGTGTGTATATAAATAAACACGCTGTGAGCATGCAGTAGAGCAAGAGAAGTCGTAGAAAAAACGAAGCGTAGCAGAATTTGAGTTTAGCGTGTTTTCTGTCCTATGACATAAACATGGTTTTTCAAGCGTTTCGACCAATCAGAGCGCGCGTAGTATCTCAAATATTTTATAAATAAAAACATTATAAACACGACTAAAACCGAAAGAAATTCACACGGGAATCTGCGCCAGAGTCCCCCTAAGAGCAAGCATTGATGAAGAACCAAGATACCATTATAGCCTCTTGAACTGAACTAAATAACAAAGACCTCTTGGGAAAGAGGCGCAAGCTGACAATGTTTACGAGCTAACTAAAAAGGATTTGAAAAAATTTTCTTTCTATAATTTTCTAACAATTTCGGATCCCTCATCTCAAGACACTTTATGGAAAATGGGCCTCGTGTGGCATACTGCAAATGAATATTWAAAAAAAATTTTTTTTGGTTATTTTCAGCTGTCAAATATATAACAGACTGGGAACAAAGGCGGAATTGGGACAAGACTTTTGCTGTTATTGATATCTTAGAGAGGATTGGAAATTTCAAAGTCATCTACTGGTGAGTATTATTGCATGATGATATTTTTTGTCGCTACCACGCCCACATTTGTATGCTGTCACGCTCATATTCGTTAGTGTCATCAATGAGCGAGACTAGCGCAACTCGAAAATGGAGGTAAATATGTTTTAAATTCCGAGACAGTTGAAATAAAGTGGACGTGTCAGCAGACAAATTCAGTGGGATCCGCAATAAGCTAACTTCGACTCGTCCACGCTCACTCACTCAATGGAAAAACTACAAGGATTCTGAATGTAGCGACAAAACACCAGTGCATGTAAAGCAATCATTTTTCTCGATTACTTGCTTCTTCTCTGCCTGCTCCTTTTCCTTCTTCTTACAAAAGTGTTTAAGAAATTATTTTATCATTCTTTGAGAATTTTTTCCTTTATTTTTCAGTTCTTTCAAAATGCCTTTATTTTGTAACAAGAGAGAGATGGTTCTAGCGTGCTTGGAACGCCATGACTTTGACCAGCGGTGCCACATACAGGCCATGTGCAGTATTCTCCATCCTAGTGTACCTCAGGTTGTTCAAACCAAAACTATCAGGTACTTTTACCCACCAATTATTTAGCAATTAGTCCTTGAGCCCGAGTGGTCTGACCCCTTCTCAACATGATTTTTTACGTGTCCCCCTATTAAAACGGGATAATTTAAGAAAATAGATTTTCCATTTATTTAGCTAATTATTTTTCGGGTACCTTCCACCTTAAATGCCATAATTGTTTTATTTATTTGACCCCCTAAATCTCAGCAGCCCTCACCCCACCCCACTCATGCCCGTAAAAAATGAACGGTCTCTTAGGGTGTGTTATCTGCCGAAGTCGTAGGCTGTTTTTGCTGTCGTTATTGTATATGTACTGGAGTTTCGACATTTTCCTTACGTTACGCCTGTTTCAAAAAAGGGCGGAGTCCTTCATCTCTGGGATCATCGTTCGTCCTATAAATGATGGTTTAGAGTCTTCCAAAGTCACAGTTATCACACAGATCGATTTGAGAGGCAAAGCTCCTCAGGGGATCAAGAACAACTACCTCGCAGGGAACCCAATCAAGTGGATGCAGATGCTCAAGAAGTATCACGCCAAGCACAAGGACGATGTCGATCGAAAAGTCAGCGAGGCAAGCGACCAATCCTTTGAGAAGCACGCAGATCAGAGCCAATCATCACAAAGCGGAAGTCCCGATAAGTCTTACAAAACCAGTAACAGTGTAGATAACATCACAGATTAGGAACCAATCGCGTAATGTTTAAAATAAACTTAGGGGTATTTGACTCTAAAGGCTTTTTAAGCCATCTTATATGCAGTAGTTCTCGACTTCAATCCAAGGCTCCAGCATGATTTTTCTTATGTACTCCTATCATCGCTTGCCTATTTGGATGTAAATACTAGAAAAACGTGTTCACCGAGGATAACGAGAAAAACACTGGGTCTAAAACCTACTCACGCGGTGTATCGATCATGCGCAGTAGAAACAACATCGTTCTGAGGACACTAGATTTTCTAACCATGTGAAACGCCGTTCAAGTATTTCTTTATTAAGGTTGTGAAGAATACGATGTCGGAGCCTAAAGGAAGTCGAGTTTAGTAGAAAAACTTTGAGAGTATAATTCTTTCTTTGACTCCGTGTACCAGTTAGTTTCTCTCGACGAGGGTCAAACCAATGTTGTAGAGGAGACACTTCACGAAAGCGTCAAGTACAGCTGGTAAACGGAGCATATTTCAGTAAATTTCTGTGAAGAACGAGCTTTTTTCCGGTATTTTTGAAAATTGAATAAGTAAAACAGAAAAATAATTACCATAGATGGAAGAGTAAGTTAAAATCCGAAAATTGTGAAGTTTGAAGGGAATAGGTTCAAAACTCCCGAAGATATGATTTTTTTAAAAAGTGTGAATAGACCAGTTTCGAATTCCAAATTACCGCTGTGTTCCTTGATTACAGACTCAYTTGCACAGGGTTAGCCTCGTATCAGTGTCTAAATATTCACAAATACCAACGATAAAGTAAAGAATGCACAACTTCAACAATACAAACACTTTGAAACTCGACGGACCTTGGCTGGAACACGTGAATATTCTGCACAAACTCGAGGCTAACCCTGTGCAAATGAGTCTGTAATCAAGAAACACAGCGGTAATTTGGAACTCGAAACTGGTCTATTTGGCAAGAAAACTTGCAAGAGCCTTCAATGCATTGTTTTCATACGAAATTTCAATTTTGTTTTAAAAAATTTCGCCTATATGGATATTTGGATTTACTCCCTTCAAACTTCGCAGTTTCTCTCATATTAACAAGCTCTTTCAAATGGTAGTTATTCTTCTCATCTGTTAGTTTTGGGATTATTACATGATAAAAGCTCAACTGTAAACCAGTCATTTAAAGTTTTTAATATCACCATAGAAAACAAGCTGATCTATTCATCATATAGGAAAAAAACTAAGATATTTAATTTTTTGTGTTTTAAGGAATTAACGTAAAATCGCAGAGCTTCATGATTCTAGAATCTAGGAAATTGGTAAAATATGGTAGCCATATTTGTTCACTGGTATGACGTCATGACTCGCAATAAACATGGCCGTCATTTCAACTTTCTTTAGTTCTATAGATACAAGTTTCTCCTCTCCCATCCCTCCCTAAGGGAGCATTCGTGTTTTAGACGTCAGGGTGGGATGGACTACATGGCACTAAACTACATAAAACATCAACTAAGTCTTATCAAAGGAATTTACATTATTGTAAACCATCATTGTTCTTTCCAACTTCTTCAGTGGCAGAACTTTGACTTGAACGAAAACCCTGATAACTCTTCCATTTTGACTATATTCAAAAATGTAATGACAATCGATTCCCCTAGATTCTAGTTCTCCATCCCACTAATCTTCGCTTTGGAAAAATGAATGCTCCTAAAAAGGTATTTCCACGTTCTAGATCATCCAGTAATACTGGTCTATATTTACTTCGGATATGAGTACAATATGTGCATATTTCGTAAGATAGGTATGTTTTTCTAAGTTGCTTTGTATCGTTAGTTTAGTGACTACGTAAGGAAAACCTGGTTCGAAGTTGCATTGCAGTGCATTGTGGTATTGTTTTTAATATGGCGTCTATTTCTTCACTTAAAAAGTCCCACAATGCACTGCAGCGCCAACTCGACCCAGTCTTTCTCGACAAAAAGTTATAACACTGAACCTGATTAACGAGTAGAGTGAGTTTAAGGTATTGTATTAAAGTTTTATATAACCCTTCAGTTATTTGTTATCATGTCATTTTATGAACCTAAATACATAAAAATAAAAATGTTTTAAACTGTTCAACTGGTTTAATGCATGACTTTTTCTTTGCGTGCACCGCTAATTGTTCAAAAAGAAATAGTGACCGTTCCATTAGTTTAAGCATGCCTTTTATTTTGCGTGCACCGCTAATTGTTCAAAAAGAAATAGTGACCCCGACGTGACTCGAACACGCAGCCTTCTGATCTGGAGTCAGACGCGCTACCATTGCGCCACGGAGTCATTTATCAATGGATAAACCAAATTCAACTTACAAAGGTAAAAAATAATGGTTGAGACGTGACAGCCTAGCTAACTTATAGCCTTTGTACAGCCGCTTTCTACCCTTCCCCCATATGGGTGAGGGGTGGGATGCGGCTGTACTCGGGCTACCTTAAATTACTGTCGGTACCAGTCCAAAATTTTATTGGCTGACAGGTGATATTGCGCGCGCTTCACGGTTACCCGTCATTGCATTCTAGATGTCATTAAAGTTATGCGCGCTTTTTTCATCAATAATGATGTCATCAATAACTGAAATAATGTTTCCTGTTGTTCCTGGTTGTCTTTATTCAAGAAAGGTCACTAATTACTAACTCAGAAAAGTTCAGTGGCTTGCGCATGCTAACAAAGGACGAATAATAATGCTATGGCGTCAGTCCTCAGCTCCCAGTTGTTTACGAATCTTGACAAGTATTTTATTCACGTGTAAATAATGTCAGCACAAAAGAAATTTGGGGAAATTCATTCCATATCGTTGTGAAAACCTTTTTGAAATAGCTGAAAAATACCCCATTAACTGGAACTAGTATAACGCGTTTACCAAATTTAACGGTGCAAAAGGATCAAGAACTAAGTATATTCTAGATTTAATTAAGTTAGACAGACGTGGTTTTTAATTAAGACTGAAATAATATTAATGTTTCCTGTTTTTCCTTGATTGCTTTTTCTTTGCGAAAGGTCACTAACTTACTCAGACAAGCTTTGACTTGGTCGGTGATAAAGGGCGTGTAATCTTAGCGCCAGCATGTGATGGCAGCCATGACAGGAGGCACAGCAATGGAGTCTTTTTCCCTAGGGGAACTGAATTCTTTCTCATTTACTGATGAGATTAGACCAGATTCAAATGAAACTGCCTCCTGTCATGGCTGCTATCACGTGATGGTGCAAAGATTATGGAATTTCTTAATTAAATTGCCCTATTTCACTATGACGTCACATCAAAACAATCCGTTGTTTAAACGCAAAGGTTCATGGTCGTCGGAGGGGATCAAATCAACGCAAATTCAGCGAAAATTGTTCTAAAACCCGTATCAATCCACGAAGAGAAGTAGAATAGCCAGCAAACACTCAGAATACTTTTTAGTATATGTTAACACATGTTACATCTGAAAACCAGGCCATTTTAGATTAAACAATTTTACTAGGAGCAAATTTTGTTGAATTTTCTATTGGATTTGGCGATTCTATCCCCCACATAAACAAGCAGTGACGTCATAGTGAAATAGGGCAATTAGGAAAAAGAAACAAACGCAAGGCTGGATTCTCACTAGATATTACTTTGTACGGCTGCATAAATCGCAACTTCACGATATGTGGTGAGCTAGGAGACCGCAAAATAGTAACTATAAAGAGGTCATATCCCTCTCGAGAACTAGTTGGCATTTTATCCGTTTGCTGCAGCTGAATTGTAAGAATTCGAAATTGAAGAAAAAGCGACAGAACTGCACAAATCATAAAGGTTCCCTAATGGCTAGAGCTAAGAGGTTTTTTCGACTATTTTAGCGTTTGGTATAAGTTTTACTTGTCCGTTCTTGAGCAGGATAAAATGCGATTATCGAATTCTGCATATCAAATTATGTATAACCGTTAAAGTAAAAAACATTAATGACCCCGACGTGATTCGAACACGCAGCCTTCTGATCTGGAGTCAGACGCGCTACCATTGCGCCACGGAGTCATATCCATGTTATTAACTTACGAAGAATTTAAGAAGATTCTCTGATGGTGCGTAAAGAGCAAATGTTGTGCGAAGCTCAACAATTCAAGGGAAGTAATCATGGACGTGTTATGCGCCGTGAACGTAACGGTACTGACGTCCATGCAATTTCATTGATGAAAATGATGTCGCACACTGTGGCTAGTTGCGTTGTACCGTGAAAAGCAAAGTACCGTAAGCGTGCCGTGCCGTGACCTTCATGTTTTCTAGAATTTTTATTGGCTGATTTCTCTCTCGCGCAATGTGATTGGTCTGACTGTGCCGTGACCGTGTCTGCGCCGTGTTTATGCCGTGTTCAAGGTATTTGATTGGATGGAGAATAAATTCTCGAGCAGTCAATGATTGGGCTGGCGTATCTCATGCCGTGAAACTACCGTGTTTATGCTGTGAGCTTTACACAGTCATACGAAAAATGATCTACACCGAGTATCGTGCCGTGCCGTGCCGTGCCGTGCCGCGTGCTTTGCTGCTTCACATCACACGGAAGCTGCTCTATAAACACACACATATACGAGGATTGGCGCTACGAAGTTGGAAGAGAACCTCCACACAAATAGGATGAGAAAGGATCCCGTTACCCACCCCACTCTCAACCTGGATTTGCTGCGCAAAGAAAGAAGGGCCTAGGTAAACAAATAAATATATAAATAAAAATAACATAAATATAATTTAAAAACATCGAAAATCTAAGTATAGACCACATTATAGTGTATGACAGCACATAGAGATCGTTGAAGCTAGACGTGCTTTTATTAATTGCCTAAAATAATGTTTTCTGTTTATCCCTGATTGTTTTTCTTCACAAAAGGTCACTGCTTTAAATTGCAAACGAAGGGCGTGTAATCTTAGCACCAGTAGTACAGTGGTACGGTGCGTGGCCCATAACGGCAAAATGCAGGGACATGCAGCACGTTAGACCATAGTACTAGTTAATAGAGGGAATAACTCCCCTGTATTAAGTATGGTTAGACGCGTACGAGTTGCTGCCAACGATAAGCACAGTGCGCGCGTAGTTTGGCAAATGGGGCTGAGTTCTAGAGGAGCTTAGTTTAATGCTCGACGATTTCTCAATTTGTAAAACGAATTCCAATCGATTTATAGAAACTTTCAAAAAGTTATTAACAGCCTTACCGAGGTTGAGGAAAAACTGGGTCGAGTCGGTATTACAGTACATTGTGGGACTGTTTCAGGGTGCCCTTAACAGCCCCGCAATGCACTGCACTCGACCCAGCCTTCCTCAACTTCGTACAGTATTAATTGATTCCGACGCACGCATGATATACTGTTTGCTATTCCCTGGAGGCAAGTTATTGCTTTGTTCAGACTCAGCCAGCCCTCAGAGCGTTTCGGACGTCTGTAATATGATTCGCTCGTTAGTGCTAACGCTTGTGTCACGCATTCCACTAATATATGCGTCCGCGTTGGTAGTCGTGTACGTGTAGTTGCAGAACTTTGGATGAATAAAGGAATTAGCATTTTGTAGTGGTTCAAATTATCTTCGATCAGAGTTGTAAGTAGAAAGCATTTAGTTTTTGTTTACTTTGATCTACTATTGTTAGCTAATGCTAGTTGACTAGCACGCCTTCAATCCTGACATTGATTATCAATTCCGCATGTCGTGTCATGATAAATTATTCGAATATTAATCCAAACCAGAGTAGGATCAGCTTCTAGCTTCGTATTTCTTAAATTTACCGTTAAGAATTCAAGTTAGTCTTTAGTTTTTAAGGTGAGTTTTATCTGTTATGATCCTCAGGTCTTGACGGGAGGTCTCTCTAAAGTGACTCTACTTGGCCACTCAAAATAACTCCCAAACAATAGCCACACTGTAAGCAAATGAACAATATTATATCTGTCTAAATTTACTCTTAACTCTTGATTCGGATTTACTTCCATGCTGATTTATTTTCGAATTTACTGGTAGTGCTTTCCTTAGAGCTCTTTTATTGTTTCCTAATCTAGTACTAATCCTCATTGATAATGAATAATTCTGTATTTATTCTTTCCGCGATCAATCAAAATATCATAGTGTACTCTTCCAAGGCGTGATTCTTGTAAATATTCGTGTTCTAAAAGACTACAATAAGAACTCGTTAATGAATCGATTTTTCTGGCGAGGAATGCAAGTGTACATGTTATCATTAACTTAATCTACATCTTCGTAATCTTAATTCTTCTGGGAGTATTCTGTTATTTCGCGAGACTTGCGTGACCTCAGTCTTCAGTCTTCAAAACCCCATGTTTATTTATATCGTGTTGAAAAAGTTGAGGTATCCGAAACCTAAAAAAAATCCTAAAAATCGATCCTTAAAAGTCGGGTTTCTCCCCCGGCTGTTGCACGATTATCTGAGAATATTGCTTGAGTCCTTTAGCGGGAAAAAAATATGCGAGAATTGAATTCTCCATATCAAAATATTCCAATCAATCTGTCTGTGTATATTGTTTCTTTCCTAATTCCTGTTTTAAGTCAAACCATTTGATGTTCCTCTCGTATATTACGATTCATGTTGCTCACTTTATATAAAACGCAAATTATTTAGATTATAAATGTATTAAAATCAATAAGAATAACATTTCTAACCTATATATTTAGCCAAATTCATTCACTAGCTTTTACTTGGGAAGAATTTTATAGGGATTACTGTATAAACTGAATTTCTTTGAGTCAATGCAGCCTCAAACTTGACACTGTACAATATTCTTTATAGTTATCGTTATCGTACGTTACGGTTCTGTTTTAGAAGATATTCTTCTTAAAAAAGGAAAATATAGTATGCAAATTTGTAATGTAATCAAGTAGTCGTATATTGATTTGATCCACATGGCTAGATTCAGTGGTCAGTGATTTCATTAAAGATTGCTAGACAGTGGTGATTATGAAAAGCAATTTATTTTTTCCGCGTTGACCCATTTCCTTGCTGGGTCAAAAAATAACAAAGCTTAATGAATGGGAAAAAATATATATAGCATGGATAAATAAACAAGAAAATTCAATGTCAGATAAGAATGAAAAAATATTGAGAATAACAGAGAAGAAAAAAAGAAAGAAAATAAGGAAATTGGGAAAGAATGAGGTTATATAGTATTTTTTCTTTCTTCTCAATATTTTTCAGTATGATTTTTCAGTATGATTGGGGTTTCAAAGTCCTTGTGGAATATCAAATGCCTCAACTACACCTCAGCATTTGAAATTCCACTCGGATTTTGAAACCCCAACAGAATGCAGTGACGAGTATTTGACACGACATCTTATACTCTTTTTGATATGTTTGTTTTTAGTCCAAGTAGTAGGACTTTGAAGTATTTTAGAGTACTAGAACTTTGAAATGGGTGCGTATTTGATGAGGGTTTCAAACTACTGCACATGGTACAAATAAGAAACCCTGGTTGGTATATGAGCTCATGAATAATTAATGAGTATAAGATTGATAGATTGAACCAAAAAGACAACTTATATCCAACATGGCATCTATGATGTCAGATATTTCACTCAACTTGAAAACTTTTCAAAAATGTGAAGAAAAGAAACAAACTCAATTCTTATAAAAGATGGTTTAAGTCACTATCAAGATTAAGTAAAACAGCAGCCATATAGCATGATGGATTGGTCAGACCATAAACAACTTTGATCGAACATGATGTCTGTGATGTCATGAAATTTCATTTTATGTATTGGTGAATATTTACCAAGTAATCTATGAACTGCATGGTTTGTTTATTCCTTGTAGACATTGATGGCATCCATCGTTCAAGAAACAACCCAGGTTGTGGTGGACGGTGCTGAGACAGAAGCAGATGGTTAGTGTACTATATAACATTAATTAGCTCTGACAACGAACCTTAGCCTTTGATACACAACTAAATTTTCCCTGCCTCCCTCAACCCCCCTCCCCCACCCCCCCTCCCCTTCCCCCTCTATCTTCACCACATACAACATTTAGGTGCATATCCCTTTCCATTGGCAGTTAATTGTAATGTGCATGTGTTATTGGGGCAGGGGTTGGATAGCTTGCATGTAACCCAAGCATTAACTCTGTTCAAATGGGAGACCCGATGGCCCAAGACTCTGTTAGTTGGGGGCTGCACAGAGACTAGGGAAGTACGTAAGGAGTGACCCTTGCCCCATGGTGGTAAATCCTGGACACGCCCTTGACATTAAGGCACTGGGGCTAAAGTCTTCCCTACCCAGATTTTTTTTTCCAATGACCATTGGGTCATTATCAGGGTTCAAAATAATGCGGTGCCAATGGCCAAAATGCAGGTCAAATTTTACCGCTGACAGGCTAACACAATTTTGAACTGCGAAATGGAAAATAGAATACCACTTCAAGATACTAAATTACTCTAAATTTTTCCTGCTAAAAATATAAAAATAAAACTGTCTCAGCTATTTTATTTTTCGAGCCCTGCATTATTTAAGTTTTTGTTGTCACTATTTCCAGGTTACTCGTACAAGATTGACCTCTACACTGGCGACGCCTTTGGAGCTGGGACCGATGCAAACGTTCTTTTGACAATATATGGAGAAGATGGCGATTCTGGACAACGGGTTCTTGATAACTCTGGAAATAACTTCGAACGAGACTCGTAAGAAAAATACTTTTTTTCTTTTTTCTTAATTTCTTTTTTTTTTCGGGGCAGAATTTAGAGTTGATAAAGTAATGACTAACGACGAAAGAATGCATAGAGCTTCCCTTTTTTCATAGATCTTTTCTGAGATATTGAGTATGGTGCATTGTACTTGGGCTAGCCGAGGTACAAAGATCAGTTTGTCCATCATGCCTTATATGGTGTGGTTTGTACCCAAGCTAGACCAGAATGCTTCCTGTTGACTGAACCCAGACAAGGACAAGTCCTTAAATTAACGGAAAACAACTGTTTAAGTTTCCTATAAACGTTTAAATGTGTGTGCCAAGCTAGAAGAAGCTTTTGAGACTGTAATAAAGTTTATTATTATTATTATTACTAAATGAGAGCGCGTGTGCRGAACAAAATGACATGAACATGTTTGATACTCTCATCATACATGGTCTTTGACCAATCGGAGCATGCGTTATATCTAAATTATTTTAAAACAGGTATTCATTATGCTATATATTTCTATTCTTAGAAAAGACCATTTCAAGATCGTTAATAAAACCTATCTGGGTCGGATTAAAAAGATCACTATTGGCCACGATAGCGCAGGGGCTGCACCAGGATGGTTCTTGAATAAGGTAAGAAAATAATACATGTTACAAGTATCAATGAATAAACCATCATCATTATCATCATCATCA